AGACAATTCTCAATAATGGCTGAAAGACACATAAGCACGTGTTCAACATCCTTAGCCATCAGGGAAATGCAAATCAAAACAACTCTGAGATACCATTTTACTCCTGTCAGAATGGCCAAAATAAAAAACACCAATGACAGTTTATGCTGGAGAGGATTGGAGAAAGAGGAACACTCCTCCACTGCTGGTGGGAGTGCCAACTTGTACAGCCACTTTGGAAATCAGTATGGCGACTCCTCAAGAAAATGGGAATGAGTCTACCATAAGATCCAGCAATTCCACTCCTAGGCATATACCCAAAAGAAGCACATTCATATAACAAGGACATCTGTTCAATGACATTCATAGCAGCACTATCTGTAAGAGCCAGAAACTGGAATCAGCCTAGATGCCCCTCAACCAAAGAATGGATAGAGAAAATGTGGTAACATTTACAAAATGGAGTACTGCTTAGCAGAAAAAAACAATGGAATCTTGAAATTTGCAGGAAAATGGATGGAACTCGAAGAAACCATTCTGAGCGAGGTAACCCAATCCCAAAAAGACAAACATGATATGTAATCACTCATATGTGGATTTTAGACATAGAGTAAGGGATTATCAGCCTACTATCCACACTGCCAGAGAAACTAGTAAACAAGGAAGACCCTAAAAGAGACAAACTTTGTCCCCTAGAGAAGGGGAAAGGGTCACCATCCCTTGAGCAAATTGAGAACATGGGAAGAGGGGGGAGGGAGCTAGGAGAATGAGAAGGGAAGAAGAGGAAGGATGCAGAGGTCATGAGGGAGCAGAAAGGTTGAGTCAGGTGTAGATTAGAAGAAAGGACATATGATAGGTAGGATTTTAATTGGGGGGGTGGTAGGGGAGGAAGGGAAGGAGAAGAGAACTGGGATTGTCATGTAATGCAATCTTGTTTGTCATTCAAATATATAAAAAATAAAAAAAAAACTAAAAAAGGTCTTAATCTGGGTGTGGTAGATCATAACAAAAAAAAAAAAAAAAGAGTACTTGTTGCTCTTGCAGAGGACCTGGGTTCCATTCCCAGCACAAACAACCTCCTGCCGAACCAGTTCCCTGGGATTTGATGCCTTCTTCTGGCCTCCACAGGTACTGCACATACATGGTGCACATGCATAAATGCAGACAAAGAATTCCAACACATAAAAAATAAATATATACTTTTAAAGGAAGATAATTCAACTTTTTGAGAAGGAGGTAATGAAGTTCTCAAGTCTAATTTCTTTGTAACCTTACTTTTAAAAATCATATAGCTGAAAATAGATGGTATTTAATTGAATTAATTTCACTTGACAGCTGGTGGAGAAAGGGGGTGGAACTGGAGAAATTTCAGCTAGACTAAGCTTAATGAAGGTGATTCTTATTATCAAGAGCATGCAGGTTAATGAAAGGCGCAGGCAAGTAAACAGTACTGGTGTAGCAGCCTTTCCTACTGTCACAGGGATTTGTCTTGAAAAGCACACCTGTGCAGGCCTTTTCATTAGCCCACCAGTGCTCTAACAGTGGATCCTATGAAACCACAGGGAGAGATCCCATTATAGTATTTCAGCTTCATTTTCTATAGCATGGAGTGGCTAGGTGATAGAACAGCAGATGCCCAAGGAATACTGGACACCTCTCCACAGGAAAGTCCTATAAATTAGACCCATTCAGCCAATCCAACTCCACTCTCCATTTCTCCTCAGTGCACTTTCTTTTCTCTCCTGTGCTACCATGAGAAGCAATGGCCGGCAGGTACTGTGAGGTATCCACTAGAGACCGCTCAGACATGGGTTCAAGCCAATAGAAAAGTCATTATTAGCTGGCCAGTAACTAAAATTGGGTGTTTGGAGTCCAAGTGCCGTCCTGAGATTTTCTTACGATGAGCTTTTAAGCCCAAAAACCACACCCTGGGTTGACACACCTAAGTTAGCAAGAACAGTTAGCCAGAATGCAGAACCATGGAAGCCAAAAAGCAATATTAGTACATTTAGGGACTTTCCCAGAACTATGGATGGGTTAGGCCTTTATTCTTGTTTCAGCAGGTGCTCAGGTCTACATTCTGGGCTCTTAGGTCAGGATGGTGCTTTAGTGACTCTAATGTGATACCAGTCATGCTAAGGTTTGGGGACCTGTCACACAGAACTGAGACCAGGGACAGCTGCTAGGTTTGAATTCCATCCCACCCACCAGCTGGTGCTGCTAAGCATGGCGTTCCATCCCCATGAAGCTGAGTCACTGTCAAGAGGAATGGGTGGGTGATGAGGAGATGGCACAGCATGGAGACCTAAGTTAGGACCCTCAGGTCCCATGGAAAAAGTCTGTCACACAGTGCTGGGAAGGTGAGATGGAGGGTCCCATGGGCCTGCTGTGTAGGCAGTCTAGTGAAAATGCAGAGCTCCAGGCTCAGAGCCCAAAAGGATAGGGTGGAGAGTGGTTGAGGAAGCCACCCAGCATGCAGTTGTCACACACACACACACACACACACACACACACACACACACACGATTAGATGACACCATATGGACGGTACTTTGTCACCAACTAGCATATAATAAATCCTTGTTTCTGGGGCTGGAGTGATGGCTCAGTGGTGAAGATGGCTTGCTACTGAATCATGAAGAACCAGAGTTCACTTCCTAGCACCCATATCTCAAGACTTTCAGTCACCCCTTACTCTGAGGGATATGACAGCCTCTTCTGACCTCCATCCGCACATGCACAGGTGTACACACCATGCACAAACGCATAAGCACACATAAATAAAATAAACATTTACAACATAAAACAGCCATCTCCTAGAATGTCAAACACTCTCTGTCCATTTCTTCCAGTTCTCAGATATTAAATTGCAAAGACTTAAAGCCTGAGTGAGCTTTCTTCCTCAGTGAACTTTGCCTAATGACTCCAGCTCCTGGGAACACCGAACACTTTGACTTTGGCTATACACTCCTACTGGACAGACTCCAGCAACACCTGACGGTGTCGGTGGGTGTGGGCTCAGGGTTTGAGGAGAGAAACAGCATGACTGTTCAGGCTGGCCTAGACTGA